GGACACTCTAGATTCCCCCCTTGTTATTTGGAACCCTGTAGCATGGTGAATAATGTCTTTTTTTTTTTTTTTTTTTTTGACACTCTGTGCTAGATCATCCCTTCTTCTCTTGACCTTTACTAAAATCCTTTCAACCCTGTAGAAAATGTTTCTCCTGCATCCTTCTTTCTTCCACACCCTTTTCACAAAGTAAGGAGGAAGGGTCCGTACCCTCTTTGTTTTCCAGCTGCCATGCCTACCTGCAGTGATGCCCCTAGTCAATACTTCTCCACCCTCAGATAAAAAGTTTTTTGAGGCTCGTGTTCTGGTTTTACCCTTCTTTAGCCTGCTCCTGAAGTCCTGTCCCACCACCTATTGGTCCTCTCCATTCTTCAAGACGTTTGGTCCTGGTTTGGTCTTAAAACCTTCTCATAGGCCCAACTGTCAGGCTGCTGACCCCTTAGTTCCTTTATTCAAGCTAGGCTCTTGGTTCTTTGCACTCGTCAACTTATTTATATCACTCATCTATTGAGACTTTCAGGAAAAATGTCTTCAGTCTAATCATAGTGCTTAACCTTTGAGTTCCTAAATTCCAACATCCTACATTTTTTACTGTAACCTAACTACTCCCATTTTACTTGTTTCATTGATTTTTACTGACTGTAGTTTTCTCTTCTATCTAAAATAAATTGCTCTGCTCACATTCGATAACCATTTCTTCCTCTTTCTGTAGGGCCCTTACTCTCTACATATCTTTTAATAATTAATTGGAAAAAAAATGATCCCACGTAGACTCATAAAAAAGATAAATGCCTTAAATATTGTACTGAAACTTAAAACAGTATATATTACCAAATCTTTCCATCTAAGACCAAGACTTTTTAAAGTAAGAATGACTTGATTGGAATTCTTCACTGTCTTTGCTCACAGTATGCACAGAAGGCCTCGTCTTTGATTTCCAATCTTTCGTGTAAGTAAAGTAAGAATTTCAAGACACACATAAGAAATCTGAATTTAGAAGCCTTCTGAATCTTCATCATTAGTTTTCCACCCTTTTATATTGGCAGTAATTTTTGTTATTGATTTTTATGTCTTTTTTTAAGTTCCTTCTTTGCACTCATCTAGGCTTGCTTCCTTCCTTCATTCCTTCCTTTCATCTATGTGGGGAGTACTTTAGACAGGGTTTCACCACAGCACAGTCCTCCCCCCAGCTTTTCAGGCACCCAGGCTTATAGACATGCCTGACATGTTCAGGTTAACTCAGGATCTGACCCTGGAGCCTCCCCATATCCAGCATTACGCAGTGGTACCCTACCGCCTGTACCACCATGTCTGGATCAGTAACGGTCTTTTAAAAAATTATTCCCTGGGACCAGCAGTTAGCGTAATGGCTATGTCGCTGGACTCCTATGTAGTTGACTGTGGTTCGAGTCCCGGACCCAGTGGCTTAAACTCATGCCAGGCGCATGTGCGTGCGTGTCCAAGATCCCAAGAGGAGAATGGAGGAGAAGGGATTGCGGCATGTCCATCTCCCCTGGGGGGTGATTTCTCGCTTTCTGTCTCTCTGTCTCTCTCTGTCTGGCAAGCGCATGCGCCCTATAGCAAAAACCTCTCCAAAAAATAAAAAAATGAAAAATTATTCCCAAAGCATTTTACCTATCCCAGAAATAAGAGTGTCCTCATTTTGCATATATTTAGTTAAATAAATAAAGAACACTAAAACAAATATAACAGGCCTAGACAGCTTTTGGAACAAACAGTTTAACCCTGGGTCACTATGTAACACAACCGATAGAAGAAGAAAGGTGAAAGCGTATTAGAAAATCATCTGCCAGCCTTCAGTGTTAAGTATTAACCAATTCTCGTAAGGGAGACTCAATGCAGGGGAGGAGGAATGAAGGAGGTCAGTGTTCAGATCTCTCTCAGAAATGCTTCTCTTCTATAGCTCTGCCCCTTCCAGCCATGCTGCTGTAGCTCTCCCTTATTTTCACAGCCACGTCTATAGAGGATTGCTTAGGTGTGCTCTTTCCAGTTTTCTGCCCCCTTCGTCCTTAGTCACATTAATCTGGCTTACCCCCCATCAGTCCATTGACACCACTCTTGCCAGAGTGCTCAGTTGCTCTCCTGCTAAATTCTGCAGAGACTGCACGGCTTCATTCACAACCTCCTAGAACCCATCTTGGCCTGGTTTTCCTTCTTCCTCTTCGATTACACTTTAATGATTCCCAGGCCTCCTCAGTGTCTAATCCCTCCTTACCCTTTTGGCTTGCTATTTTCTTACAGCCTTTAGCCTGTGGATAATTTCTACATGCTGTTCACATCTTGGCTTACTTGTTGCTTCTTCTAGAAAATCTTCCTCCACATCTTCCCCTGTTCCCCAAGACCAAGATGGATGCCCCTTCTGTGGTCTTGCGGGATTCCCTCTGCTTCTCATCATAGCACTCATTTCAATGTAGCATAATTGCCTACTTATCCACTCACCTTCTTGACTGTAGGAGAATAGCACCACTATCTAGGCCAGCAGGTGGTGAGGAGGTTAAGTTACTGGATCCCGTGTGGCCAACTGTACAGTTTGAGCCCTGGACCTGCAGCCCAAATACCATGTCGGGCTCACGTGCGTGCATGGCCAAGATCTCTAGAAGAAAATGGAGGAGAAGGGATTGTAGCATAGCCACCCCCTAGGTGGTTATTTCTTATATTCCCTCTCTCTCTTTCTCTGTCTGTCAGGAGTGCACATGCCCTATAGCAAAACAAACAAACAAAAAGAGTAGTAGTATCTCAGTTTACCATGTTATCCCCAAGGTCCCTTGCAGTGACTGACACTACAAAAATACTGCTGCTCCTCAGGCGGTGGCCTTATGAGAGGCCTGGGTGCATTCCTGGTCTACTGTAAAAGCCAGGTACAGTGGTATGTGCCTGGTGGTACATAGCGATTAGTATATCTCCAAACCCTAACTGAGCAGAATCACAGATGCAAGGCAGGACAATACGAGCAACAGGGGCACTGACGACAATTATATTTACAAATCTAAACACAGAAATTTCTGTTTTACAAATAAAAGTGCCTATAGTCCAAGCTGCTTGGGAGGCTGAGGCAGGGAGATTGCAGCCATCTTTTAAAAACAAAACTGAAACTCTCTTAAAAAAAAAAAAAAAAGATAATAGAAAGGAAGTTCAACACAGTGGTTAAATATGAGTTCTGGATTTATAACTGCCTAAATTTTCATCTTTGCTCTCACAATACAACTATCTGTGATCATGGGCAAGTTACCTAACTTCTCTGTTTCATTTTCTTCTTTAGTAAAATGAGAATAACCACAGTATGTAATTCATAAGGTTGTTGGTAGTTGCTACTTGGAAAACATTTTGAACAGTGCCTAAACATATAATAAATGTTAGCTATTAAAACGTAACACTTTGGGGACCAGCAGATGGCGTAATGGTTACATCCCTAGACTCACACGTAGTCAACTGCAGTTCAAGTCCAGGACCCAGCAGCTTAAATTCACACCAAGCGCCAGTGCACGCATGCCCAAAACCCTGAGAGGAAAATGAAGGAGAAGGGATTGTGACATGACCGTTCCCCCACTACGCCAGAGAGGTGCTGTTTCTGTCTCTATGAGCTCACATGCCCTGTAATAAAAATCTCGCTAAAAATAGTAAATAACATTTTTTATAAGCTCTAAAATTTCAATACACATAAATACATATAGATACAAGGCATTAGTATTACTAGTTTGAATGACTTTTTAAAAGTTTATTCATTTATTTCTTCTATGATGGGGAGAGAGAGTCAGACAGGTGCCCCCAGAAGGGCTTTTGTGTTATGATCCACTCCGAGTCCCGGTTATCCCAGATCATGGGCATACAGGTGTCTACCCAGCATGCCCAGGGAAGGCTCCAACACGACCCAGGACCTTTCCCATTTGGTCCAGTTGCATTATCATGCACCACCACCAGGCCTCTAGTTGAATGTTTTAAGGGAGTAAAAGACTGGCATTATTCTCAACAACAACTTTTTTTCTTTTAATATAATACCATAGCTGTACCAGAGTTTATTTACCACATTTTAAATTCAGAATTTTTTTGCTTTTTTGTTTGTTTTGTTTTGTTTGTAGAGGTTTTTGCCTTAGGGTAAGTATGCTTACCAGAGAGACAGAGACAGTGAGAGGAAAAGTGAGAAATCACCCCATGGGGGCATGGCCAAACCGCAGTCCCTTCTATTCCATTCTCTTCCTGGGATCCTGACTGCACACAAACACACGTCCAGCATGAGTTTCAAGCCACCAGGTCCAGGACTTGAACCATGGTCAGGCATGTGGGAGTCTAGTGACATAACTGCTACACTATCAACTGGCCCCCAGAATTTGTTATTTTTACTTTTCTTCTTTTTTTCTAAACATTTTTGTTTGTTTGTTTAACTTTATTTATCCAATTATTTATTTATTTCAATTTGACCAGGGAGAAGGAGAGAGAGAAAGAGAAAGCAAGAAAGCAAGCCACCAGGTCCAGGACTCTTAACAGTGGTCAGCCATGTGGGAGTCCAGCATCCCCAACCACCATGCCATCTGCTGGCCCCAAATTTGTTATTCTTAATTTTCATGAAATTTTTATTTAAAAAATATTGGTGTCAAGTATAAAAAGAATTTTTAAATTCTCTGACTAAATCTGCACAATGTTTTGAGTACATATATATAATAGGTAGAAGTTAACAGAGAAAAAAATATTAAGGAAGATAAATGGCTTAATTTAACAACAATTATTGTGTCTCTAATACTTAACTTTATTTTTCCATATGATTTGATTACATAACCCATTAGTTATGTAATTAATACAACTTTCACTAAAAATGTAGAAAACACCAAGGCATTTAATTTTGTATGTGTTAACCAGAGAGAATTTGTTCAGTATTTTTAAAAAATTATTTTTAATTTAAAATTTAACTTTCTCATACTCATTTGTTTGTTGACTGTAGAGCAACAGAAGTCCTTAATTTTTATTCTTGTTCTGATTCTTTTCAGAATCGGTGGCTCCAGGATTTTACTCAGAATGACATTAGGAAGAGAAGTGATGTCTCCTCTTCAGGCACTGTCTTCCTCCACTGCAGCTGGCAGAAATGTTTTAAGATGGGATCTCTCACCAGAGCAAATTAAAGCAAGAACTGAGGAGCTCATTGTGCAGACAAAGCAGGTGTACGATGCGGTTGGGCTGCTCGACGTTGAGGAAGTGACATACGAGAACTGTCTGCAGACGCTGGCAGAGGTAGAAGTGAAGTATATAGGTGGGTCAGCTGCAGACGCACATCAATACTGCATTTTGTGGACCTCTCAAACCATTTTATGCTTTCCGTCTTGACAATCAATTTTCCACTTTTACAAGAGATTGATTTTTACATAATAATTAATTAATTGCTAGAATTAAATTACTTAGGATTTGAAATTTTTATTATGTTGACAAAAATGCTATAAAATCTATACCCTCATTACTCTGCTTTCTGGAGAGCATTTGGACAATATATCAAGTTTTTTTATTGTTTTTTTGTTTGTTTGTTTTGTTTTGAGCAAGAAGGTACATACATAAGAGAGGGAGAGAAAACTATTTTTTCCCCTAAGATTTTTGCCACAGGACACTGGTACTCACCAGAGAGATACAGTGAGAGGCAACATGAGAAATCACCCATCAGGGTGGGTGGCAATACCACAATCCTTTCTCTTTTATTCTCCTTCTGGAATTTTGGGTATGCATGCACATGTTCTTGGCATGATTTTCAAGGTCCCACTAGGTCTGGGACTCAAAATCTGTTTGACCATGTGAGAGTCAAGTGCCTTAACCCTTAACCACTATGTTACCTGCTGACTCTGAGAAATATTTTTGACATGGTGCTGCCTCATTGTAGTCCTCCTGTCCTAGCTTCTCAGTTAGCCAGGATCACTGGGCCACAGCACCACACCCATCCTGTTTATGTTGAACTGGGTACCAAACCCAGGCCTCCACGTGGTTAGCCTCCATGCAGTGGCACGCTCCCACTTGTGCCAGTGCAACTTGATCACATATCAAGTCTTTTAAAAGGTTCATACCCTCACGGTGCCTATAGTAGCATGGTGGTTAAGGGCACTAGACTCCCACATGCTTGATTGTGGCTCAAGTCCCAGACCTGCTTTCTCACTTTCCCTCTTTGTCTCTCTGTCCCTCTCTGGTCATATTAAAATAAAAATAAATAGAATTAAATAAAATGATTCCTAAAAAAAAAAAAATGAGGTTTATACCCTCCTTCAGTAACTCCATATCTAGCAATTTTTTTTAAGGAAATAATCAGATATAGACAAAATTCTCATGTTTATATGTACATTTTTATATTAATATATAAATTTATATATAAATTATAAGTAATTTTTTTTCTTTTTTTAAATTTGCTAAAGGGTGTGTGCACTCACCATGGAGATAGCAAGAGAGAAAAAGTGGAGAGCCCCTCTCAGGGGCTAAGGCTGCACTGCAATCCCCTCTCCTTTTGGGATTTTGTATGTGCATGCACACTTGCCCAGCATGTTTTTCAAACTTCTGAGTCAGGAATTGAGCCACGTAGTTGGCCACAACTTCCTTAACCACTGCTATTTGCCCCCTAAATAGGTGCTCTTATTATTAATTTTTTTCTTTTAAGAATTATTTATTGGGACCAGCAGATGGCATAGCATTTACGTTACTGGACTCTCACATGGCTGACCACAGTTCAAGTCCTGGACCCCGTGGCTTCAGACTTATGCCAGGGACATATCCATGCATGCCCAAGAGAAGGACGGAGGAAAAAGGGATTGTGGCTTGGCCATCACCCCTATGGGGTGGGAGGCGCAATTTTCGCTTTTTGTCTCTGTCTCTCCAGTGAGCGGATGTGCCCTGCAGCAAAAATCTCCCCCCAAAAAGAATTATTTATTTAATTGTATTTATCATTATTATTTTATTTATTTATTTTTTTAATTTGACATAGGCACTCACCAGAGAGCAAGGGCTAGAGAGAGATAGAGAGAGAGAGAGAGAGAAAGCAAGCTGCCAGATCCAGGACTCAAACTGTGGTCAGCCATGTGGTGGGAGTCCAGTGTCTTAACCACCATGCCACCCACTGACTCCAGTAGGTACTCTTCTAAAAGAGGCTTAGAAATAACTCCTAAAGGTCTACAGAATGGCTAAATAAACTACACTCATCCTTGGGTCCAACAGATAGCATGATGGTTAAGGTGCTGGACTCCCACATGTTGGACTGCAGTTCGAGTCCTGAACCTAGCAGCTTGAAAATCACCCTGGGTATTATATGCATGTCTGCCAAAATGCCAGGAGGATGGTGGAGAAGGGATTATGGCTTGGCCATCCCTGGGGATAGTTTCTCACTTTCCCTCTCACTGTCTCTCTCTGTCTCTCTGGTGAGTACTCTTT